CAGTCAGCGGTCACATCAGACAGAACAGAAAACATCATGTTTTATCACTGATTACATTTTCTTATCTGTCTTGATCTTTTCTTATTAACTGGCATTAAAATTCCACTCATTCATTTTGGCAGGAAATACTGCAATATCTTTAACATTATGGAGGTAGAATATACCATTATCAAGTATTAATTTATCTATATGCACATTGCTATTATCAAATTGTGTTTCTGAAGACTCTTGTTGTTCTAAGTTTGATCGAGGCTTTAATAGATTGTTGCATACAGAGGATTAGAGAAGTGGCTCATAAAGAAGCAAAAGTGTTGTATAAAATTTTACTTAAAGTAAAGTTTACATTGTAAATTAACTTTAGTGTCAGCATATAACGATTGCAATATTTACATACATTTAAAACATGTACTTATTTACATCATAAACATACTTTTGTTGCTAACAATATACATTTCATAAGTTTCATAACACTTTATCTTTGTTGATTATTAAACTGCCTTTGCACTAACAGTTAAACTGGAAATTGTTCCTTTTCAAAAGAAAAGCATCGCAACTCAAACAGTCAGTTAACCATAGTTAAAAGCAATATTTAGGGGCCTTGTACATTATAATCAATCCACATATTCCCAGATTGTTGTCCTGTTTGTTCTGTTTAAAGAAAGTAAGAACTGGAGGAGCAACTTCACACTTAAAAATACCAGCCATGTGCCGCCACGATGATTTCCGCCACCCGTTTGTTGAGACGGGGGTGATATAGAATTTATTGTGAGGTTCGTCCGTGAAGCTACACGTACACTGTAACCATCGACTACTCAGCCACCCGCCATGTTCAGTCTGTCCGTTCACTTGTATCTACACCCTTGCAGTGCTCTTCCCGCCGTTTGCTTTCAACCAAAGGAGAAAGGCCGCCGTTCTCCAGGCCTTAAACTTTTAAGGTGCTTAAAAGTTTAAGCATGAAACGATGAAAACCCGGTCATTATCATCAATCAGTAAAATCCCTACAGGCCGAACTCGAAACTTGGACATTATGCTGATAACACTTAGCTTTCGTCAACATCTCAGAGGTGGAAGTCAGAGCTCCGCGCAATGCAAGCAATGTCCCGGCCGGAACAGGTGCTCTAAATAATAAAACATAAATTTATGAAGCTTTGAGGCACGAAAATTTTCCTTGAGGAATTTTAACAATCGAGGTACTCGTATTATTTGAGGAATCGTTTCAGCCCTAGTTGCGTCAGTGTTTTCTTTCTGGAGTTGAAAGTGCTCACAATCGTCCATCAGTGTGGGACCACACCCTCTGAGCCTGGCTTGGCCTTGGTGAATAGGGTATGGGCGTGATGAATTGATTGCATGATGCAAAGCTTAGTTTTATCTCTTATCTTAGATTTCTGAATCTTGTTTGAGTGAAACAGCCTTCAGATGTGGACCCGACAGAGCCACTCTGGCATGTTGTAGAGCAAGAGAATCAATCGCATCATGAAAGTGCAAGAAAAAAAATCTGTGAATCTTTGTTTACATCTGGTTGAAGCCACGCCCCAAAGAATCAAGGTGCGTCTGGCTTTAATAAAGTTATAGATGAGTGTGGGCATATTTTATCCTATTTATTTATTTGTTTGTATTTTGTGACTTTCGGTTTCTCGCTTATTTTCACTCATTTAATTGTTTTGTTGATGAACACTTTGCTGGACGGCAAATTTCTCTATGACTGTTAAAAACCTGGTTGTAAGTATTTTTCTTAAACAGCCAGGTACGACAGAAATGTGTTTAAATAAGTTTATGAAATGACTGAAACTGGTCATGGAAATACTTCCCTTCTGTTAGTTGCCTCTGAAGTTGCAAAGAGTTTGGGGACTGTTAATCAACCAAACCCAGACAGACAATATTCCAATGCTTGTTAACAATTTCTGCCTTTGACTTTATAGGCTACATAAAGATCCTGGAGGAATAAGGTTTATATTTTTAGTTTTTACTGCCTTTGTAGCTTTCCACCGGTCCTTCGCTAGCACAGCAGCTTGATTTATTTATTAATCTTAACATAAATAGATAGACAAATCACTGAATAGTTTAAGATAATTCGTTTTCAATACATCTTAATGTATTTTCTTTGAAGAATATTTTGATCCACCTGCATTGTGTATCATTTGGTTACTAGGAAAAATCTGACCTTTGACTTAAAGATTTCTTTTGTTATGACATCACGCCACTGAAGGCATAAACCATTGTGCATGAAGTTGCCAGGAACTCAACTGAACTGAGATTAGGGATGCATAGAAACTTGGAAATGAAGGTTTTATTGCACAGGAAGCGTCGTTTCATTGCTGGTTTTATCTTGACTCTAATTCTCTTCACTGACAATATCTTCAACTCTTGCTTATTCTCCCCTCCTTCATCTAGGGTGTTGGTGCAGGAAAGGCTTCAGTACTCATTTACTATTATGTCATTATAACAAAATGACTCAAAGATGTATCATACTGATTATGGAAAAACTACACCCTGGACAGTCCTGCATGTTCCTTTCAAACAGGTTTGAAAACTGATACATTGTAAAAATCCAAAATGGATGTTATTAGCAATCAGATTAAGCAAGCAAGTTTAGTTGTGCTCACTGTGGCTGCCTGTGGGAGCATTTATGAAGAAAGTTAAGAACAGTTGCTTTTATTTTATATTTACTGGTGATTTATTTATTTTCTTGTTTTTGTAAATAATACTCAGGGTATATGCAATAAGCTTTACTTGGGACAAAATATATTTTTGGCATATCTAAGAAGTGCAGTTTCCAAATGTTAAATACAACAAATAAAGGCAAGCAGTGGCGTTCTCCATGGTTCTAATTGAGGTCCAACTCTTTCTACCGATCATCAGGGGGAATCATCAGGACATAGTATTAATTATCACAGCTGTGCTGATGACAGACCGCTCTGCATTTCTGAGTGTCCTAACTTAGGGTGGCCAGATTTTGATTTCTGAAAAATCACATGACTTTCTTTACCAAGGCCTGAAACGCTTGTCATACTCTGTACACTTAAAGAAGACTTTTGAGCTTAACATATTTAGTGTTCTGAAAGCACATCATATAACGATTGCAATATTTACATACATTTAAAACATGTTCTATGCTAATTTAACTATTCTCTTATACATGAGAAAGAATAGTTAAAGCTGCAGTATGTAACTTTTATAAAACGTATCTTGCTACATGATATTGAGCTCCTCTAAAAATAACAGTGGATAAAGAGCTTTTATATACCAGTAAGTCGTTTCTCTGCCATTAGCATATGGAGCGGTGAGTACACGAGGATGATTGACAGCCCTAAGACCCTCCTCCTGGCTTTGATTGGTTGTTTTTGGTTGGGAGTGGCGCATGTCTTCAGATGGCAATAGAAGCTCAATGACTACAATTTTCTGCTCAATCTGACTTCTAATTGTATCAGTTGTGGTGTTTAAAATTTTTCAGCTTAGAAACCTGTTTGTAATGCCATTCTGCCTTGTCGATGGCGTAACTTTCCCATTATCAGAATGATCCTCCGAATGCCTTCGATTTATTTTATGTTGACGTGAGATGGGTGTTTAAACCACCTTTCCTCCCCCCAACATCCAAGCTGAAGTTGAAATAGAGGAAGCATTGTAGAGAACATCGTGGAAAAGAGAAAGTTAATATAAGTGAGTTCTGTAATCGAGGAGCAATTACAGCTATACATCAGAGGACATGAAGCTTTCATTTCTCACTCAGAGTTAAGTTTAGTAATCAATCCCTCCCTAATCTCAGCTATCAGCTGTTTGATTGCTTTCATAGACATGGACATTTATTAGGGTGTGATTTTATTGATATATGTCTATGATTGACTGATGTCATAACAGAGGACATTTTATAATCAAAGGTCAGATTGTACCAAACAGGGTGGAACTCGTCCCACCCTTGTGTTGGCAACCAAATGTCTATAATTATACATGAGTGTAGAATATTCTGAGATACAATAGATTGACTTACTCTGAATCACTCATAATAAACAATTTAATAAGGTTTTGTATAATAAATAAAGCCTGTAAAGTATTCTACTTTTAACAGAAGAAAGGTGGACCAGCAATAAAAGCAAGAGAAATCACATGACCAAACCTGAAGCAGGAGTTTTTAGGTTTCATCCTGGGTTTACTTTACATCTCTGTTCTTTCATTCGTGGACATTTGAGATGTTAAAACTATTCCCTGTTGATCCCAACAAAAAGGCAACATATATATATATATTTCACACACTTACTGATATCAGAGGACCTGGTTATGTAAATGCTCTTCTGTAAGAGAGATTTAATATATATTTTTGTGTAAAAAATTACTTTTAAACAGCTTAGCTAATAAGGTCTCTGGGATATGGTGACCTGATAGGAGCATTTAAATTGCAGATATTCAATATTATTATATTATTTAAGTTCTACTTTACCCCTAAATGTTTAATTCAGGGAGCTTTCAGTGACCGTCGCCCTATTTATCTATACAAGCAAAATACCAACCGACTAGAAACCCATTAGGCTTCAAACACCGTCTGACCTGAACAGCTGCAAGCTGATTTCCACTTCTTCACCTTGTGCCTCTACAGTTCTGGTCAGACTTATTTATAAACAGTTAACTTGCTATCTTAAGGCCAATTACCTCTTGCACAGTCACGGTTTCCATTCTGGTCATAAACGTGTCAAAACGGCTGCACTAAATGATTTAGGTGACACAATCTCTGCTCTGGACTCTGGTCAGCATCGTGCTGCAATTTTCATTGATTCAGCAAAAGCTATTGATTCAGTTTATCATTCTATTTTAATAAAAATACTAATCAGCCTTGGGATTGATTTTGTTGTGGCTTTAAAACTACAATACCTGTCAGAGTGCAGTAGTAATTGAATACTTTGTTTTTTTGTTTCCAAAGGACACCCTCATTGGTAAAATATCTATGATTCCTTTATTTGATACTAATGACAAAATTGATCAAAGGAAGTCTCAAAAAATGGGATATAATCTATCATTCCAACATTCGATTTATTATCAATTCCCCTGTTTTACATACAAAGATTTACAACACATTGTTGGTAAATGTTGTCCTCTTCCCCATCTCCTTTTATGTGTTTAGCACATTCAGCCACATTGTAAATAAGAAACTGTTCTTAATGTTTTGCCTGGTGAAATAAAGATTCAACTAACTAGTTTTCATGGCCAGCAAAAGGGCCATTAAAAGTGGATGTAACTTTGTCATCTGATGGCCCTCTGTAGGTGAACACAAAGCACAAAATAACATCGCGACTTCATTGTTTAGCACATATATAATTTTGTTTTAAAATCTGTTGAATGACTTATTGCAAACATTCTCATTTAATTTGATTTTAATCCCAAACATACAACGTATCCTTGTGATACAAAGCTTGAGTTGAATAATAACGGTCATATTACACAAAAAAACATAAAAATGTGTAATATTAGCCAAAATACACCAGAACATGGTTATGAAAGGATTTTTAAATGTATTGACACATGCATGTCTGTTTAAGAGACAGTTAAGCTGGTTCCAGTCTTAAATGCTGGGTTATAATCTTTTGCTGACATCTGCTGTCATGAAAAAGGAATTTCAAGCTTATAAACACCTTCAATGTATCTTTAGCCAGTTTAGGCACAAAACTTTGTCTTCAATCTAAATATCTTGCTTTTTAATTAGATTCTGTTTTAATTTTTGTACTGCTTTCTCCTGTAGGCAGAGTATCGGTTGGTTCTGAAAATACATAATTTGGATAAAGGAAATAAACATCATAAAATGGCAAAAAGATTAATTTCAACAATAAATTAAAATGACTAAAATGGCATCGTAACTCCTGCACCAGACTGAAATTGCAACAGATAGATGCATGGCAGGATAATGGCATACTGTGGTAACTGACAGTTTATTATGATGAGGTTTGTTGTTCCCAAATTGATATTCTTGATGAAATTCATTAAAGCACACTACTGACACTAATCCATACAGCTGCATATGGATGTCTTTATAAGAAAAATTTGCACTGGTTTGCTAATAGAGGAGTGAAGTACCCTAATGACAGTGAATCTTTACAGTGGAAATGAAAGAAGCAAGAAGTAAAAACATGAAAAAGATAAAAACACAAAAGACTAAATGATTTCAACTTCTGTAGAGCAGCTCCCTCTGGTGGAGAAAATTACAAAGGACACCTGGATTTTAATTTCTGAATTTTTTGATTTATAATAAATATTTTGGTTGAATGAATTGACAAACATTTCTCCTATGTAAATGTTGTGATAGTTTATTTAATGGCTTGATGCATAACTTCATCTATTCAATTTTTAAAAGTGTTTCTTGCTGTTATTTCAGAGTTATATTCAACAAAAAAGATTAAAGTTCCTTTTTAAAATAATATATTGAACATAATTTTTATTAAGTATAAACTTTTATGCATATAAACATTCCAATGAGAAGATAACTAGATAATCTCTGATTTGCAGCTTGTCAGTTAATGGCTATGTCACTTGATATAGCCATTAATATCATGGCTTTATCATTTAGCCATGATATATAGCCATATGTCATGTCATGATATATAGCCATGATATGTCATGATATATAGCCATTAACTGACTAAGACAAAAACCAACACAAACATTGCTATAAATATTACAAACTATTGGACTTACTTGCTAAATAATTTCATTTCTACACTTCTATTACATATTTTACACCAGGGGGTTCCAATGAATTGCACTAACTTGGGAAAAACACCACTATAGGAATTTGTGAAGCGATTCAGCTTTCCTCTTCTTATTTAAAGTAAAAGTTTAGTAAAAGTTTGGCTGGCCTCTGATCTGAGCGTAAGGGTTTGTGGTTCGGTACTGAGGGAATGTGCTGTTTCCGGACTGGAGCTTTTCATAAGGGTTGATTTTGGGTCGACTCTGGGAGAATGAAAACATGTCATCTTGGTAGTCGTTGAATCGCTGCAGTAGAGAAGAAAATATATAAGGACTCGTGAGTGAACAAAGAACAGATGTTTGTTTACGCGACGCTTCATGCAGAAATATACCTACCGAGTTTCTCCCTGAAGATACCAAGTTTTGTCGGCTGTTGGTCGGAGTCATCTCCAGGTTGGTCTTGCCAGCCCAGTTGCTGCTGGTATTTGCCCGTGGGATTCGAGGGAACCCAGAATTTGCCAGGCTGTTTGCTGGCTCTTTGATCCAGGTGTAAAATTCATTGCTGCTGCTGTAGGGCGGTGGAGGTTTGACAAAGGAAGGGGTTTGTTTGGATTTCCAAAGGTCTTCCTCTTTGCTCTTGGAGCCTTTGTTCTTTAATCTGAAAAAAGAATAACAGAGTTCTGCAACTGTCTCTGTCCTATGTTGTGTTTGTAGCTAGATTTCTATTGTTATCTGCAATTAATTTCTAAACCTTTACTTTAAAATGACCTTGCACACCGAGCAGCTTTAGAAAAAACATACAAGGCAAAGGTGGTTATAAAAGTCTCTAAGGTGTTAAATGAACAGGGTCCAAACTTACTTTTTCAGTACAAATGGCTGAGCGATCAATCCAACGATCATCAGGAATCCAAGGACAGAGCCAACGATCACAACGATCAACAACGTTTCTAACACACAACAAAGAAGCCGTCCATGATGAGTCTCAGGCTTTACAGGGTCACAAAGCAATTTTAGAAAGAATTTTACCTTAAAATGGAAAATTTGATTATATAAATTTCTCAAAGTGACATTTTATTAGAGGGAATATTCACTTGGGTAAAAAAAAAAAAAAAAAAACCCAAACAAAGAAAAACTATTAAACTACTTTTTATTTTTTGTTTTGTGTTCATATTAGTTTGGTAACTTTTAAAAAAAAGTTTTTGTGACCCAGTGACCTTTGCACAGCTAGTACCGTCTAGAAAAAAGGAAAAGAAAAGCAGCAAAAAGCCCCAGGTCAGGACTGGCTCTGCCCTGAGTCATGTGGTGCCCCCATTATAACACCTATTAGAAATATATTCCTCAGCTACTCTGTGTCTGTGGCCCAATTCTGAAATTTGACTGTTTTTGTTTAGAAACATTTGCTTGAAGCTTTAGCCTCCCGCTCTCTCTGTGCTGCCTGGATTTCTGGATCTCGGATTACTTTACATTAAAATCATCTTTTATTCACTCCAACCTGGGTCCTCAGCGTCTGCCTCACTCCCTCTCTACCACAGATCACGACTCTACATGACACACCAACCAGAGCAGCTTTTCCAATCTGAGTTGCACTTGCAAAATATTCTGCTGCTGTCAATTTAACAGAAAATACAGTGACGCGTTAGAACAATTTTGTAGACTACAACTGGCTTGTGAGGATTAACAAGCTTCTAAAGGGCAACTTCAATATTTTTGAATGAATCTGTTCTGTGCATGAAGCAGGAATTCTGCATTTTGAATGAGCTAAAATGTGCAGCTTTGCAAACAGTTTCTTTAGATGACAATACAATTCAGAATTTTGACAATATCCTAAAGACATAAAAATTAACGTCTTGATGAATATGCTTAAATGTCACTTCTGTATACTCACCGTCCTCACAGTTAAAACCCATACGGCCAAAGTCACATCTGAAACAAAGTGCATAATTTAACTTAAAACTGTTGGACTTGCAGACAACATTGCGCCAACCAGTTCGTAAGTCTATTGACTTACGGTTTGCATGCGTCGCCCTCAGCTTTCTCACCAGCAGGACATGCTAAAGTGCAGAAAGTTACACTACAGTCAATGCTCAGTGACACATTTCAGCTCTGTTGATATGAAATATCCTTACCCAGGCATAATTTGTCAGTGTAACCTGTGTTAATGTAGCCGTAGTTACACTTGCATGTCAAAAGTCCATTTGTATGGTTGCAGGTTGAAGATGTTGTGTCACAAACAGTGGGATTGCAAGCGTCTTTATCTTCAAATGGGAAAGAAAAAGGATGATGAGATCAGAAAACAAAACTTTCACATATAATCAAGAACATCCCTGAAAGCTGCATTCTTCAGAACGTCTTCAGACATGAAATTATTACACAAATCATGAAATTTGTCACTGACATCATTTCTATATTTTGTGCATGTTGTGGTGCCATTCATGTTGAGAATGTTTAAAATAAATTAGTAACAGAAGAAACCAAAGGACAAAACTCTAGTGGAAGAAATGGTTTGTGTTTAATATAACACATTTTCTGCAAAATAACTGTAATTAATGTATTGTATGTAGAATAAAAGAGACATAAATTAGACTGGAATCTTCAGAATAAGAACATATTTGTGTAAAACCCACTTTCAGAACTTTGTGCCAGTGGACAGGTGTCACAGGCAACCTTTCCCATCGTCTCTTGTACAGTTTCTTCTGTTATATCAGAAGTTACTTTGTAGAATATTTCTACTGATGCTTCAACGTTGTTTGTCAGTGACCTGGTGTTTGCTTTATTTTCCCTATGTGGAAAAATGTCACAATTAAGGAAGATTGCACTAAAAAGTGGATTAGTTTACGTCACACTGTAAGTATTCGCTAATTGACTCTGAAATTCACCTTAGCTCCAGCACTAAAGATGAAATGTATCCATTGTTTTCACCACTGAACTGTTTGTCAATCTGTGTATTAAAAATAACATTTTAGTGAACACTGTTATGTATAGGTAAAGAACAAGAACAAAATATATTTTAATTTAATATTAAGTGCAATACAGGTGACACCAGAATTACGCCCCAATATTTTTTTAAGTACGATTTTTGGGTTAAAATAAAATACAGGGAAAGATACATGGGTGCTTACCTCATCAGTAACGTCTTTAGCAGTCTCCTTAAATATTTGTGAAGTTTTGTCGGCCATTTTGTCATTATATGCTCTTTTCAAGACCAGCGCTTGTGGGAAAGTCTTGGCTATTTGGGAAAAAAAAAGATTATTGTCAGAAACTTCCACAAAAATCTCACACAAACATTTAAGTAATTTAAATTTTAAAATGACAATTTACCACAATATCACATTTTTCAATTAAATATCTATAAAAAACCAGTTATATTACAATTAATCTGGTTAAGTTACGATTAAACTGATATATCCTATTACTACTACTACTGATGTCATTTCAATAAATAAAATCATGGCTAGAAAACCAGCTACTAAATCTAATGTCAAACTGTACTGTTAAAAACATTAACACTGAAAGGGAAAAAACACATATGAACTTTAGGATTCAAAATAATTAATGGTTGGAGTTTATATTGTTTCTTTACACATACAAAATATAAATCAGCAAATTGTGTTGTAGGTATATACCACAAAAAACAAAAAAAAAAAACAAAAATGGATATTATATTTTTTCTTAAGAAAGAATATTTCCAGCATTTAAAAAGAACAAGGTAGAAGTCAGTATTTGAAAATAAAAAAACATTATTTTGATATTTCTTTTTATCTAAATGAGGAAGTCCACTTTGAAACGCCTTACAAATCCCAACAATGATCAGCAGGGGGCAGCAACGAACGCTCTAAATTTATGCCTCTATTTGAGTCCTTTAAAGAGACACAGAAACAAGGGATAGATAATTACTTCTTTAACGTTGCTTTAGTGAAGTAAGGCCATTCATACAGTCAAATTAAAAGAGCTCAAACCTCCCACTCTCACCCAAAATCCTGATTCTATTGCTTTAATGGACAGAGTTCCCACGTCACTTCGGTGACACGCTGCAATAAAATGTACAATACTGTCTTGCTTCACAGGTTTCTACACTAAGCTAAAGAAAAAAATAAGCATATTCCCATGTTCCTTTATACTCAGATACTCACATTTGTCACAGCCTCGATCCTGATAATAAAATTCACCAGCCACGCACAAGCACAGGTAAGTCAGGCCAGCACGCTCTTCACAGGTGCTTCCTCTGAAGCATGGGTTTGAAGCACACGCACCTTGATAATTATGACAAAATGATGAACATGCCATGAAAAAACTTCATCATTTTGGTAAATTACAGGTAACTTATTTTATGTAAGTAGTGCTTTCTAAATATTATATGTATTTGTAAAGACATTGAATTACTTGGAGGTTCTGTAGTTCCAGGTTGTGGTGCTGTGGAGGAAGCATTTGTTGAGAAAGATTCTGTGCTTGGTGAAAGACTTGGACCCTGCGTTGGTGGAGTTTCTGTTTCTAGAGTAGCTGTTGACACTGTTGTAGGTGTTGAAGGTTTTATTGGTGTTGAAGCTGTTGTAGTTTCTGTGGTTGGTCCAGATGTTGGAGGTTTTGTTGTTGAAACTGTTGTAGTTTCTGTGGTTGGTCCAGATGTTGGAGGTTTTGTTGTTGAAGCTGTTGTAGCTTCTGTGGTTGGTCCAGATGTTGGAGGTTTTGTTGTTGAAACTGTTGTAGCATCTGTGGTTGGTCCAGATGTTGGAGGTTTTGTTGTGGTTGGTCCAGATGTTGGAGGTTTTGTTGTTGAAGCTGTTGTAGCTTCTGTGGTTGGTCCAGATGTTGGAGGTTTTGTTGTTGAAGCCGTTGTAGCTTCTGTGGTTGGTCCAGATGTTGGAGGTTTTGTTGTTGAAGCTGTTGTTGTTGTATGTGTGGTGGTCAGATTTGGAGTTTGTTGTCCAGAAGCTGTTGTAGCTTCTGTGGTTGGTCCAGATGTTGGAGGTTTTGTTGTTGAAGCTGTTGTAGTTTCTGTGGTTGGTCCAGATGTTGGAGGTTTTGTTGTTGAAGCTGTTGTAGCTTCTGTGGTTGGTCCAGATGTTGGAGGTTTTGTTGTTGAACTGTTGTAGCATCTGTGGTTGGTCCAGATGTTGGAGTTTTGTTGTGGTTGGTCCAGATGTTGGAGGTTTTGTTGTTGAAGCTGTTGTAGCTTCTGTGGTTGGTCCAGATGTTGGAGGTTTTGTTGTTGAAGCCGTTGTAGCTTCTGTGGTTGGTCCAGATGTTGGAGGTTTTGTTGTTGAAGCTGTTGTAGCATCTGTGGTTGGTCCAGATGTTGGAGGTTTTGTTGTTGAAGCTGTTGTAGCTTCTGTGGTTGGTCCAGATGTTGGAGGTTTTGTTGTTGAAGCCGTTGTAGCTTCTGTGGTTGGTCCAGATGTCAGAGGTTTTGTTGTGGTTGGTCCAGATGTTGGTGGTTTTGTTGTTGAAGCTGTTGTAGCGTCTGTGGTTGGTCCAGATGTTGGTGGTTTTGTTGTTGAAGCTGTTGTAGCTTCTGTGGTTGGTCCAGATGTTGGAGGTTTTGTTGTTGAAGCTGTTGTAGCTTCTGTAGTTGGTCCAGATGTTGGTGGTTTTGTTGTGGTTGGTTCAGATGTTGGAGGTTTTGTTGTTGAAGCTGTTGTAGTTTCTGTGGTTGGTCCAGATGTTGGAGGTTTTGTTGTTGAAGCTGTTGTAGTTTCTGTGGTTGGTCCAGATGTTGGAGGTTTTGTTGTTGAAGCTGTTGTAGTTTCTGTGGTTGGTCCAGATGTTGGAGGTTTTGTTGTTGAAGCTGTTGTAGCGTCTGTGGTTGGTCCAGATGTTGGAGGTTTTGTTGTTGAAGCTGTTGTAGTTTCTGTGGTTGGTCCAGATGTTGGAGGTTTTGTTGTTGAAACTGTTGTAGTTTCTGTGGTTGGTGCAGATGATGTTGATGTTGAAGCTGTTGTAGTTTCTGTGGTTGGTGCAGATGATGTTGATGTTGAAGCTGTTGTAGTTTCTGTGGTTGGTGCAGATGATGTTGATGTTGAAGCTGTTGTAGTTTTTCTGTGGTTGGTGCAGATGATGTTGATGTTGAAGCTGTTGTAGTTTCTGTGGTTGGTGCAGATGATGTTGATGTTGAAGCTGTTGTAGTTTCTGTGGTTGGTGCAGATGTTAGAGGTTTTGTTGTTGAAACTGTTGTGGTTTCTGTGGTTGGTGCAGATGATGTTGATGTTGAAGCTGTTGTAGTTTCTGTGGTTGGTGCAGATGATGTTGATGTTGAAGCTGTTGTAGTTTTGTGGTTGGTGCAGATGATGTTGATGTTGAAGCTGTTGTAGTTTCTGTGGTTGGTGCAGATGATGTTGATGTTGAAGCTGTTGTAGTTTCTGTGGTTGGTGCAGATGATGTTGATGTTGAAGTTGTTGTAGTTTCTGTGGTTGGTGCAGATGATGTTGATGTTGAAGCTGTTGTAGTTTCTGTGGTTGGTGCAGATGATGTTGATGTTGAAGCTGTTGTAGTTTCTGTGGTTGGTGCAGATGATGTTGATGTTGAAGTTGTTGTAGTTTCTGTGGTTGGTCCAGATGTTGGAGGTTTTGATGTCATGGAATGTGTTGATCCAGCTGTGGTAGACACAGGAGGTTCTGTTGTTGATGTAGCTTCTGTCGTTGCTGTCGTTGTAATACTTATGTTAGCATTCATTCATTGACACAGTTTTGTTCATTTCAAATAAAAGAGTTGCTTGAATCTGGTCTCCATATTTTTTTGCATATTATTATTGTCACTTACTGTAAATTTCCTGTTTTTCATTTTCAATACACCTGCACATTTTGTATGTTTTTTTCAATTTAACTTACACAGTTGTTAGTTTGTACTAGATTACACAATTTATAATAACTGAACAGTATTTATGTTGAAAATTCACCCTTACTATACCGATTGTTTTATTTTATTTTGTTTCTGACTGTTTTATACTCCAGTGTTCGGCAAATCTACTTGCTTTGACCACTGATCATTGTTGTGCTGGAATTTCTCTACTGTGACACAATAAAGGATATTTATTTCTATTTTATTATATTAGCTTCCAGATTCTAAAAAAGTATATATGGTTATGAGTCAGCCATTATTTAAAAAGTGTTTCTGTTTAAATAAAGATACATGATTAATGATTGACAGTTTGAATACTGATAAACTAAGATACGGTAATCACTTTCGGGTGAATCATTTAGGAGCTAAATAGTGAACTTGCACAACAACTAAGTTTATAGCTCAGTACTTTTGGCAATAACATGTGACATAGACGATAACTTTTGAAACAAAAATCCAAAAGTCACTAAATGAAAAGCAAGAGAAGCTGTATCGCCTTTAAACAATAAAACTTTTCTGATTTTCAAACATTAGTCATTTTTAATGAACTAATGTCTGCTTAAACCTAAACTCTAAATTTGAAGTAATTATGACAACCACTTTTACTGTTCATTTTTCATCCTAACAGACGTTCGGATTTTGATTTATTTTTTCTTTTTCTCTCAGTTTGAGGCAATTATTTAAAAAGTTATCATGGTTGTGTCCATTATGTTACCAAGGTTTATTTTAGTACAAAATAATCTAAATATTTTCCAAATTATATAATTAATTTGTTAAACTGTCCCTTCATCTGTATCACTTATAAACAGGACTAGAAAGTAACATTTTACATTTACTCATGTAACTAAATTTAAGTACAATTTGTCTGTATTTGTTGCTAAAGCTTCAAGCAAACCTGAAATTTTACTTCCACCTAAGCATGTTTTCAGTAATGTATTTTACTCAATTATATTAAAATTAGATCCATTTATGAGTTAAAATGACAAAATTTAAATCAGTTGGAGATCAATGTGTTCTAATTCTCTTTTGTGGAATCCACAATCAGCACTTTCCATTCATGAAATATTTTCTAAGTAGCTTCCGCTTAAAATGAAAGTTCAGCTTTAACTTGACTAACGTTTTACAGTGGCAACTTGTATTTCATCCAAGTAATTGTACTTTTATTATTTCTTGTGCTCTTTCCATTTCTCCCTATAAGTCTTTATAGACCACAGCTATTTCTGCATTAATTAATGGAAGACCAAACATTATCGTTATTATATAACGAGGACAAAAAACAAATAAAGAATCAAAGTAGTACAGAAAAAAGGTGCTGCTACTACTTCTGAACGAAATGATAGAAATATAGTATATAAAAACATTAATGCTTACCAGCAGTGGCTACAACAAGCCAAAGGATGAACAACAAGCCAGTCAATGTTTTAACCATTATTAAAATAAAGAAATAAACTCGAAGGTTAAAATCCCACAAAAAGACTAAAAGCAGTCCGAGCTATGAGTGGATGATACCTGAGAGATTAGAAGCCTGAGATGAATGTGAAATCAACCTTTACTGTCATGCTATGGCCACACCTCCTGGGGCATTGCAGGGTACTAAATGTGTTAAAAAAACAAACAAACAAAACCTCAAAAGCCAGATCTTTTTCAAAAGCAATGGTTTTTATTTGTGCTCCATCATAAACTGTTTTTGCCACATGATTTAAGAACAAGTGAATGTTTTACTGGTCACAAGGCGATTAGTAAATCAAATCAATGTGTACATCAAAATGTGGATGTGCCATAACTTTCTCCAGCTGAGCAGAAACAAAACTGAAGTTATTGTCTTCGGACCTGAAGAGGAACGATCTAGAGTCAATGCACAGCTAGAAACTCCAGATCTGCCTCAAAATGTGGCCTGAGTGATGGACTCTGACCTGAACCTTCAGAGTCATATGAAGACAGATACAAAGTCGACCTTCTACCACCTGGAGATCATTTCCAGGATTAGAGGACTAACATCTTGGTAACATCTAGAGAAACTCATTCACATGTTTAGTTTTAGTCTCATTGATTACTGCATCAATGTGACAAAAAATAAATAAGTCCTCCACCTGCAGCTGATCCAGAATCCTGCGGCTGGTGTTTTCATTAAAACCAGGAAGATAGAAGACATCACAGCAGCACAGACAAAAATTAGCAAATTCAGATGTTTAGGAAATTAGTACAAATAGGTAACTTTGCCGAATGAACACTTTTCTGAGTCAAATTTCTTCAATATAAAGCTTATTAAACTGATACCTGCACTTGATATTGTAAATTCAATATATGCTGTAATAGGATAAGGTACTTTCAGTGGCAATATTTGTGTTTACTGTTGTCTTTATGTGTCCAAATGACACAGAAGGCTCAGCAGGGAGAACATAACAGAACAACAAAACTTTGTACAAATTTCACAGTATTCGTCAAGTTTGTTTCTCGCTTATTCCAGCAACAAGGCAGTTCAAAGTGCTTTACATCATAAAAACATTATATAGCCATCAGTTATAAAACAAGCCATAAACATTGCTTATGTATGTATCTCACACAGTTTTGGTTAAAGCAATCTTGTTCTTGAGTCTGTAAAGTTACTGACAGTGAATAGAGTATTTAGAAATTTTACTGAAGAAAGAGTAGCAGCGCTTCCTAATGACATCATTTAAGTTATTAGTGTAGTAAACTACTCCTAAAAGTACATTTTTCCCCCACAAAGGATTTTAAGAGTCAGTAACTGCCATGGAGAGTTGTAGCTTACCTTATAGTTGAGACATAATTAGTCACATTTAGTCAATTACATTTACTTCAGCAACTTTTCGAAAAAAGAAAATTTACGTTTAGGACTGTTTTTAGTACAGTGCTCTTTTTTATTTGATTTGAGTAATTTTATTATGCAGTATTGCTACTCTTAATTGAGTAAAAATTCTGGATTTTCTACTCATTGGATGAAAAGCAAACATGTTTAAACCAAAACTTCACCAGACACAGACACACACCAGCGGTTTTTGTTAAAATCTTATAGGTTTTATATAAAAGAAAAAAATGTGGAAAAGTTTTATTTTGCCTCATTTTGCTATTTTTTTGTTGCTTAAATAAATTATTGTCATTTTGTTCCTTAAAGTGTCCAAATGTGTCTTATCTTATTCATTGGTGGTAGAGGTTTGTCCTTTAACCGATGACTCAGCTGTATTCTCACTCATTCTGCACGATTACTAAACTGTAATTTCCCCTATAAAATTGGAGAAAACTGAAATGAGATATTGTATAAACACACCAAAGTACTACATAAACATGTCAAACATTCAGGTGCTTTCTTTATGGACTGACTAAAGCTTGTCATGGAAATATTTATCAATGGGTCAAAGGTGTCAGGGATGAATGATTACACTCCTTGTCAGTTGTTTATTGCTGTTACTCTGTCCTCTGTTAACACTGAAATAATTTTAAGATTGATTTAGTCACTAACATTATGAAAACACTCACAAATTACCACTGAATTGCTTACTATAATGTATTTGTAACAGGTCTCAATATTGAAGGATAGTTTAGCCCACTGATTATTTATCATTACAGACATTTGGTTACAAGGAAAACAGGGTGGGACTACATGAAGTTACTCAATCACCTACAATAAAATGATAAATATATGCCTAAATAAATGTGCATAAAGCTGGTATGAACTCAATTAAATGATTGACTGCTGAGATTAGGAATTAATTACAAAGAAATGAATGTTTTAATGGGATCTGAAGTGTTGAGGAATTGCAGCTCATTTGATTCTCTTTGCATTTATACTCTCTTCAACTCTTGCTCCATTTCAACATCATTTTGGGTGTTGGTGGAAAAAAAGCAGGTTTAAACACTCATATCATGTTATGTCATCATCACTCGATAACTTGCATGTACTCCACGTATCATCCTGGCCAAAGGCTGCAGCGCTCATTCCATTACTCACATTGAAGTGGAGTTTGTTGCTATCAGCTTCCGAAGAAAATCAACAGACGTGGATCATATTTATCTACTTCTGTCACTCCAGGAAGTTGCAGTAAATTTTCAGTGCACCGTGCCTCTGGTATGGCACAGACCGACCAGTGAATGGGTGAGTTTGATGCGAGAACTTATTCATCAAATGTGTTTCCGTCTCCCGTTTCGCTCATTGACTCTTTTTTGGAAAAGCCAAAGACCACCTCAGGAAAGCATCATTCATTTTGCGTTTATTGCAAAATTGAGGAGAGTATTTGGAATTTTGATTTTTCCTTCAGATTATACTAATGCGATGCTCAGGTAAAGAAAAATAATGTTTGAAACACAGCTGCAGAAGAAAGGAGTGCAGACAAAATCATCCAATAAACCTAAACACAAATAAACACAAAGTCTTTGTGATGCTTATTAAAACTGTCCCACAATTAATTTTTTCCCCTCTACTGTATAAATTAAACATCCCTGCTTTCCTCTCACAAGCTAAAAATTAATCACTAATAATTGGTTAATATTTACTGATGTTTCATGCATAAATTAAACCCAAAGATTACATAAAATTTACAGGATCACGTATTAAACATGGTTATTATGAAGATGTTTTTTCACTGAGTTGATTTAAATGTCAGCAGAAAATAATCGTAATTAACAAAAATAAAGGCTTGAAAACATCAGTACGAGTGTAATTGATCTAAATGATGCTAAACTCAGAGATTATGAATGTATTGTTTTTATTGAAGAGAGAATTTTGACCTAAACTGTCTGAATCAGAGGTAGAAACATTAAAATTATGTTTTTGTGTCCAAGATACTTTTTATAAAACATTTGAAACTTGAAAATCAGCAATCCAATCTTTATTAACCCATATAAAAATTTGAAATACAGGTTATCTCTGATTTAAAGCTTTTCAGTTAAATCCATCACATGAAGAAATAAAAAAAAATGATACAAGCATTACTGAATATTGTAAACTATTGGAATTATATTATAAAGGATTTTACTATATAAAATATATTGAAATATGATGAACATCTTCACATTCAGAAATTTTCAGCTCATCTCATTTAACAAAACTTAGCTAAACATAAAACTGAGACTCAAATTAAAATGCTGAGCAAAAAAACAACTGTAATAAATTCATAGATGAACACAAAGAAAATTAAACATGGTATAAATTGTTCATGCAGGATACAGAACGACAGGCGACTCAGAATACAAGAATGTAAAAGATTTAAATAATGAGAGACAGATTGGTTTATCACAGCGTATAGGATAGAAGTCACACATCAACAGCTAAAAGTATTAAAGGCACACGATACAATAATATCTACTACATTACATTGCACGTCTTAGCTGATATGCTTCTGTTTATATCAGGGGGTTACAATGAATTGTTGTCACTTGGGGAAAACACCGTGGTAGGAACCCCTGAAGTGATTCAGCTTCCCTCTCCTTAAGTATAGTAAGGGTTTGTCTGGCTTCGGGTCTGAGCGTAAGGGTTTGAGGCTCGGTTCTGGGAATAAGGGTTGCTCTTGGGTTGGATCTCCTCGTAAGGGTGGTTTCTGGGTCGATTCTGGGAGTACGAGTACATGTCATCTTGGTTGTCGTTGAGTCGCTGCAGCAGAGAAGAAGAGACGTAATGATTTGTAAGTGAAATAAGCACAGATGTTTGTGTTCTCGTGCAGAGGCGTACCCACCGAGTTAATGCCTGAAGGAATCAAGTTTTGCCGACTGTTGCTCGGAGTCATCTCCAGGTTGGTCCTGCTATCCCAGTTGCTGTTGGCTGTGGCCCGTGGGATTCGAGGGGCCCCAAAATTTGTTGGCTCTTTAACTGAAGCGGAAAAGTCGTTGCTGTTGCCATTGCCGTAGGATAGTGGGGCCTTGGCAATAGAATGACTTTGATAGGGTTTTCCAATGTCTTCCTCTTTTGCCTTGGAGCTTTTCTTCTTGGATCTGAAAGAAAGAATAATATTTTTTAAAAACTGCAACAGTGTTTGTCCTGTTGAGTTTAAACTTGCATACATAGCATAGCTTGCAGTCTGTTGCAAAAATATGAATGCAATTTTAGAGAAAAAGGTGATTGTAAAAGTCACTAAGGTGAAAAAATGAAGAGTTCAAACTTACTTTTTCACTACCAATGGCAAAGCGATCAATGCAGCGATCAGCAGAAATCCGATGATACAGCAAACGATCACAACGATCAACAACGTATCTAACAAACAGAGAAACAGTCAATAATTAGTCTCAGCCTTTTTATGGTCCTGATCCAACAGGATCACATTTGAGAGATCATTCTGTCTCAAATTTGAAGATTTGATTTTAAATATTGTATTATAGCTTTAGAGGGAACATTCACTTGGCTAAGAACTACTTTTATTTTCTTTAGTATATGCTTATGTGTTCGATATTTTTTTTTACATAAAGGCCTTTGTTGCACTAGTGAAATTTATTTGCTAGTTGCTGCACAATATTGGAGAGAAAGAAGAAGACATGCAGCTAACGGCTGAAGGCCAGCATTAGAACCAGTGTTGAAAACTGTTTTCTGTTTAACACAGTTATGATTCTTCAAATCTTTTTATTTGTTTTAAACATGTAATTACAACAATGAAACAAAAACAAAATGGCAACAGGTGCTGACACCATATATGTAACAGGAAGAAGGAGTAGGGAGGATGGATAGAAGGAGGTTTGGAGGGGAGGAAGGGAGGGCAGGTGGAGCGCTTTATGCTCGCTTCTCAGAGTTATTGGCCCAGTTCTAAAACTGTATCTTTTTTTCTCCTCTCAAAATAACAGATAGAAATGATTTAATTTACACATGGATTATTGTATGCTGAATTGTAATTGGATGCTTGTTATAATTCCTCCCCTCGAGCAAATATAAAAACGAACATATTCATGAGCATGCTTTGATTTTCACTATGGTATACTCACTGTCCTTGCAGTTGAAACCAGTATAACCAAAGTGACAGCTGGAAAAAAAAAAAACATAGTTTAACTTGAAACTGATGGACTTGCAGAGAACCATAAAGCCAGGCGGTTAGGTTGATGCACTTACTTTACGCATTTGTTGTCCACAACTCCCTGACCACTGGGACATGCTAAAGTACAGAAAGTTACACCACAGTTAGAGCTCAGACAAAGATTTCAACTCTCTTGATTGTTATATTTTCTTACCCACGCATAAGTTTTCACTGTAATCTGTTTCTATAAAGCCACTTTTACAGGCGCATTTGAAACTGCCTTCTGTAGGACTGCACGTTGAAGACGAAGTGTCACATGGATTGGAATCACAAAGGGTTTTGACTTTTGAATGGGACACAAAAAAAGGTTGATAGCATCAGAAAACTTCATAATGCAGACATAAAATCAAGAACATCACTGATAACTAAATTCCTCAGAACATCTTCAGAATTAAAGTCTAGACTGAAATCCTGACATTTGACACCTCCAACCATGTTTTGATTATTCAGTGGTGCCATGCCTGTTGAAAATGTTGAAAATGAGTGTGTAGTAACACAAAACCTAAGAGAGAACTAAACCACACTGGAAGAAATAAAAAATAAGAATAAGAATAAAATAAAAAAGAAAAATAAACAGCTTTAATATCACATATTTCTGATTAATATAACAGATATTCTGGGAGACAAGTGTAATGAATGTGCCATATGCACATAGAATTCTGCCTTTTTTATAGAATAAAAGAAAGTTAAGCTACATTAGAATCCCCAGAATAAGTGCACATTTATATAAAACCCACCTGTAAAGCTTCCTGCTAGTGGACTGCCTTCCACTATTACTTTTACATCATTTGCAGTGATTTCACTTGAGTCATAGACAATGTTTACTGATGCTTCAATAAAGGATTGTGACCTCTCTTTTGTTTCTTTTCTCCTGGAAAAATGTCATAATTAAGGAAAATTGCAATAAGCAGTGGATTAGTCTATGTCACACTGTAGAGAAAACACAGTACACTATTGTATAGAAAATACGGTTTTGAAACTTACCTGAGCTCCAGCACTTCAATTCCAAGATATCCGGATTTACCTTCAAATTGTTTGCTAACCTGTTTATTAGAAATAATATTCCAGTGAACAGTGTTCTATTTAGGCAATATATATAGACATAGAACAAAATGTCTTAATTTAATTGTAAGGGCAAGACAGACAAAACCAGTATTATTCTGTGAGACATTTGGGGCAAAATTAAACAAAGGGAAAGATGAATTAGTGCTTACCTCAGAGTGAATATTCATAGAAATTTCCAAAAAAATTTTAGATGTTTTGTCAGCCATATCAGGCAGAAATTCTTTCTCCCAGACTAACAGTCCAGGGAAGACCTTTGCTATTTAGGAAAATAAGATCATTGTAAGAACATTTCCACAAAAATCACAGGAACAAATAAATATATTCAAGTAATTTAAGTTTTCAAATGACAGTTTGCTATAGTATCTAATTTGTCATTGAAATGTCTCCCAAAAGTCAGTTAATTACTTTTGGTCTAATAACCAACCCCATTAGCCCAGCAACTGGTGACAACAAAACTGAATTAAGAAAAAAATCTCATTACTATTTTATTTAAAACAAGTATTGTCCAAATCAAATGATGCTACTTCCACCACTGCTGTTACTTCTAAATTGAGTCACTGCTTGAAATCCATATACTAATTATGATTTTGTCTAAATATTTAAAATAATTAGCACTGAAGTGGCCAAAATGCAGCTGAACAATATGGTTCAAAATGATTCATTATGGGAGTGACTACGTTGTTTTTGATCTTAGAAAAACACATAATATGGTGCATTTGTTAGCGGCTCTGTTTCATGGTTTGCTAAGCCATGGAACAAATATACAAGATGCTCATTGAAGTTATTTTTCAAGGAAATATAATTTCCCAACTTGATTTAGAAAACATTACTATGCAGATATCAGTAATGTCATAATTATGCATTTAAAAGTCACAATTATGAAAGTTATTGGCAGGATTTTTTAAAAATATGTTTCAGTTGTCAAAGTTAGAATACATAGTTTAAAAATTATATTATTTACAATATTAGTAAAATCCTTACTTTCACAGGTATAATTTCTGGTTTCTACATAATCATTATGAGATTAAAATTGATATAAAATGTACAGTCATAATTTTAAGGTTCATATTCATGATCATAAGTTTAAAAGTCACAGTTTTGACAAGAATTTTATGTTCAGTGAAAACTTTGAAATTTAAAGCTCTAAGGGCTAAGATTCAAAGTTATAAATATGAGATAAAAAGTTCAGTTATTTTGGCTTCATAAGTTATTATGAGAATATGTGAAAAACCATTAAGTTTTATAATGACTGAAATGTAAGTAGACTATGTCATATGAAAGCTTTGAATTATAACCTAACTAGTTATATTAATTAATTTTGATCGAAAGGAAACAAATATTTTTTCCTTTCGTTCCATGGAACGGTCCATTTGTATATGGACTCCTCTGATAAAGCCTTGCTCACCCTTTGGCCACCCCTTGAAAAAAAGTCTAGCTCCGCCACTCAGTTGATGAACTGAAATGAAATCCCTTTTGAAAGGCGCTAAAAATTCTCAGAATGACCAGCAGGGGGCTGCCACTTGGGTTTCAAAAGAATGTCAATCTCCGAGTCCTATTTATAACAGGCAATAAAGCAAATAATCTAGATCACTACTTCTTTAACTTGTATACTTATATAGTCAAATTCAACATATTGTGATAATCCCCAAACCAAAGAATGACATTAAAACTGCCTAGTCTGTTCAGACTGTTTACTGAAGCCAGCTTGTGAATATCCTAACTTCTTTTGGTGACATTCTGCAACAAGATTTTTTCATCTTGTCTATCTGCACAGGTTCCTACACTTAATTATAAGAAGCACCAGATTGCTTTCCAGATACATACTCCTTAGGCAGAATGGATGGCTATAAGCTTCACCAGGACGACACAAGCAATAGAAAGTCTGGTTGAATCGTTCCTCACAGGTGCTTCCAACAGGACATGGGTTTGAACCACAAACACCTTGATAATTATGACAAGAACCACAAACACACAATGTAAGAATTTTATATTTCAAGTAAAGTATTTTAATTAAGCAATGTTTTCTAAATGATTTTATCTTTTTGTAAAGTATCTGAATTACCTGGAGGTTTTGGAGTTCCAGGTAATGGTGTGGAGGGAGCGTTCGTTTGGGGGGATCCTGTGTTCGGTGAAACACTTGAACCCTCTGTTGGGGGAGATTCTGTTGATGCAGATCCTGTTGAAGCAGTTCCTGTTGATACAGATCCTGTTGATGGAGATCCTGTTGAAGCAGTTCCTGTTGATGCAGATCCTGTTGATACAGATTCTGTTGAAGCAGTTCCTGTTGATGGAGATCCTGTTGGTAGAGTTCCTGGTGATGCAGATTCTGTTGATGCAGATTCTGTTGAAACTGGAAATGGTGTTGTTATTGTATTTGATATAGCCACTGTTGTTGTGGTTGCTGTGTAAACAGATGTTAGCTTTTCATTAGTTCCAGGTTATAAAACATGTGTTGCCGTTGCTATCAATCCGTCATGATTTAAAGAAAATGCTTCAGTTTAACTAACGATACCTGAATTCTTTGCTTCGTAACTAATCGATAACAAATTTAGCTGAATCATTTAGGAGGTTACGTTTTTTTAGGGGGTGTTTGTCTCTGTTATGTTTTCTTCCACAACAACTAAATATAAAGCTTCCAGTATTGCTTTTGGTAATAAAACATAGTACAGATTATTATTCTGAACGAAAAATCCACATAAGATTATGGTCACTGAAATAACTGCAGCAGAAGCAGTATCGCCTTTAAAGAGTGAACCCTTTCAGATTTCAGACACTACCCATTTTTAAATAAATATAGTTGCCTGTACATCAAACCTGTAAATTGCCTTAACATAATTAGGCAAACTCAATTTATTCATTTTTTTCCTTAAGTAAATTTTAATTCCTTCGGTTTGAGGCCATCGATTAAATTAAACAATAACCATGGACGCGTTCGATATGTCGCCAGGGGTTATTTCAGTTACAAGCTAATAAATTCGATTAATATTTTGTAAGAGAAATAATCCAGCTGTTAAACTGTTGCTTCACCTGCTTTGTTGTAGTCTTTATAGACAGTTTCTGCTTTAATGGAAGAGCAAACACTATTTTAACTGCATAAGCACAAAATGATCAAGCTAGTACAGAAAAAGATGTTTCCCTTTTCAGCTACTTCCAACCAAGACGATTTAAAGATAGGATATAAAAGAATGACTACTTACCAACAGTGGCTACAGCAATACAAAAGAGGAATGCCACAATCAATGCTTTAGCCATTGTTCCAAAAATAAAATAAAGGTCAATATCCCAGAAAAATACTAAAAGTAGTTCAGTCTATGTGTGGATGACACTTTAAAGGTTGGGAACCTAAGATGAATGTGAAATTATGCCTGACAGTGAAGTTTTAATCAGTAACCACACCTCCTGGGTGTAGTCACTGGCCACTAAATGTCTTCCAGAAAAAACCCCACAGGCCATGTTTTTCTGTTTTTTTATTTCCTTATTGTTATCCAATATCATAAACCGTCTCTGGCACAGATTTTCAGAAGAGCTAAAAGTATGTCACTGGTTGAAGTTGAAGGAAATCTCTCAGGGTAAATTCACCACACTTGATGTCCGTTAGGATAAAAATCAGCAACAAAAATGTTAAATCACTCTTGAGTTATTCATCTAGACCAAACAGTCCACCAAGTTCTTTACATTCGCATAAAAGTGTATGAAAATAAAAAGATGTATCGATCAGGGTAAAAGTCTTCTCACTTTATTGATACATTTTTCTCTATATTAAGGAATAACTTTTTTTTGTTGTCATTTATGTTTTGTCTTCAGAAGCTTAAAATAATGTTTTCTTTATACCTGAGGCAGGTGAAGGGTCAAGACGTTGTAGTTTTTTTGTTTTTTTTTTCCCAGACTCAGATATAGTTGAAAGGATTTTTCGAACCAGGTGTCATGTAAAGAGTTCATGTGAGATCTGCTCAAGATATGAAGCTGTAAGTAACAGACACAGTTATAAAATTACACATCAGCAAGAGAATAACGACTAAAATCTTTTAATGTAAGAAGGAAACATAAAGTGCAGCAATCCTAGTATTTTCTTCTATTTATCGCTATGTAAATGAATATCCATTAATCTTGTCCTGTGAATATTTATCCCTCATTGATTCTCCTTGAGGTTGCAAAGAGTTTGGAGAATGTTGTACAACCAAACCCAAAGAGACATTATAGCAACACTGGTTACTAAAATCAGGCATTCTCTGACTTTTGAGGACAGATTTGTTTTTCATGCTGTTACACTCCTTTTCTCACGCATATCTCTGACTTGGACTTTATAGGTTACAGAAAGATGTTAATAATAAACCAGAGGAACAAATATTTCATTCCTTGTCAGTTGTTTAATGGTTTTATAACTCTCCCATGTGTCCTTCCTTAACACTCAGGTCTTTTTAAGCTTGATTTATTTAATAATCTACACGAGAATACAATCACAAATCATCACTAATATATGTTTTTCATAATAAGTTTTAAAATATTGAAGGATATTTTGACCAACTTACTTCCAGTGTCATCACAGACATTTAGTTACCAGTAAAACAGGGTGTGACTGACCTTTGATTTTAAGACGACTTATATTGTGAAAGGAGGCAATGACGAGCATAAACAGATAAAAATATAACTAAATAAAATGTATGAAGTTGAAATGAACTCAATTAAATTATTGTTTACTGAGAATAAGAGTGCACACAAAGTGGGAAATTAAACTCCTGCATCATTTCTACGTCGTCCATGGTGATGGTGGAAACAAAGATGACTTTTCCTCCACACCCATTCAAATCCTCATTTACGTCACCATCACAAAATTGCTTGAAGGTGTTCTACGTGTCATGCTGACCATAGGGAAGGTTTATCCTTGACACAGTTGCAAGTCTTTCCACACAGCTTTCAAAAGGTGATGAACTGTAACCATCACAAACTGACAGGATTAAAAGATGAAAATTTGGAAAAATTAGGAGAAAGAATTACTTAAAGGGAGTATCTGGGTTCTCCCTGTGCATGGTGGGTTCTCTCCGGGTGCTCCGGCTTCCTCCCACAATCCAAAACCATGACTGTTAGAATAATTGGTCTCTCTAAATTCTTCCTAAGTGTGAGCATGTGTGTGCATGGTTGTTTGTCCAGTCTGTTGCTCTGCAACAGATGGACGACCTGTTCAGGGTGACCCCGCCTCTGGTCCCTTACGTTAGCTGGAGAGAGACACCAGCAGTCCTCCCAACCCCATTGGGTACAATGGTGTTGGAAAATGGAGTATCTGAGTTCTCATTAAGTGCTAATTTTGTGAGGAACCAAAATTAGCAAACTAAACTCTACTTTGGTCTAAAGAACACCAGTAGAGAACATTGAATTTTAGTGGTTATTTTATTTGCCTGTTTATATAAATCATCTTCTGTCTGTAATACATGTCAGAATAAGATGCAGAAATATTTTTTGTAAAGCTGAGTAGCGCAGCTTCTACATGTTAAAAACAATATATAAATGATAAAAAATGGTGTTCTGCAAGGCCCTAATTTAGGTCCAAAGCATTTAAAAAGGCAGAATGGATCATTGGGAGACATATAATTAATTATTAGTGATGCAAAACTGTCTGATGAACATTTTAATCCTATTGTCGAGCTGGTTTCGGCATTGTTCTGCTGTCGCACAGTTTTTATTAACACTTATTGTAAATATTTTTGTTTTTTACTGTGCAAATACACATGCACATTTTGTCACATTTTTTAAACTAACCTTCTCCTTTGCACATTAATTTGGACCAGCGTACATTACTTTTAATAACTGAACACTATTTATGTTGAAATTCTTCATTCTGTTTTTTAAATATTTTATATTCTTATCTTCGTATTAACTTGCATGCCTTTGCTGCCCGTCACTTTGCTGCTGATGCACTGGAGTCTCCCTACTGATCTATTAAACTGTACAAGTTTGAAAAAACCCAACTTTGTAATGAATCTGACTAATTAAGATCATTTTTCTCAGAATTGTTTTTGCACGGTTAATTCATGATTTCCCTCTTTCAACAAACAGTGGAAATCATGTTGTTCTTTCAGCAGCTATTTTTTGTTAATAAATGAACTCATCATTAGGTACAGAAATTGCTTTCTGTACCTATGCAGGTTTTCTTGGAAATTAATTATTTTTTTGATGATCATAAACATTTCTGGTTGACAATAAAGGGAAAAATTGAAGACTTCTTTATGGAACCATAATTTTTTCACAGCACTGTATTTATCTTTTCACTACACAGTCAATCCCACAGTTAGACAACTTCAACAATGTGTGGCCTTGTGGGTCACCACAGTTTAACGCTACAGTAAAACATTGAATCTGGACTTTTCTCATCCTAAAACCCTAAAGTGGTGCATATCAGTTTTCCAAGAGTCACTGCCCTGTGTTTATAGGAATGTTTTATTAGGTTGTTTTGCTATGGTTAAGGTGCTTAACCTTAACCTGTTGGGACCAGAAACAACATTCTGCACCTGCTAAAGGAAGAGCTTGTACTGGAGAAGCTGGGATAAATGATAGCCTAGCTTATCTTAGCACCAAAACTGGAACACGAAAGCCAGCCTGGAGCTTCAGTTTAGGTTTATTTTGCTTCCATCTATCTTATAAAATAGATAGATGGAATGAGTACAGTCATTTACAGTAATGACTGAACTCTTCATGTACAACAGACCAACTACTTAGAAATTATATTGATGATATTTGGGACATCGTTCATGTTGCCTTAAACATGAACATAAGTAATGACTCTTTGCCATTACTGACAATGAGTCTTTTATATCACTTTAGATGTTACGCCAGTGAAAACTATACCATTTGTTACACTTCAGAGGAAACATGTTTCCCAATCTTGTGTCCAGAACTTTCAGCGACATTTTTTACCCTCAGGTTTTATCACCTGGTGGAGTGTCAACACGAAAGCAATCACACAGCAATAACTGCCCCTCGTGACAAGGGGAAGTCCAAAGTCACATCCATTTACATGCTCTCCTTATAGTCCTGCCCAGCAGCTCTGTTGCTGGCAGCGACTGCATGACGACAGCAGTGTTTAAGCTAAGAACACCGTGTTTGAGAAGAGGGAGGGAGACTGATAACAGGTGAACGAAAACTGTCCGGTTTCCTCGTTTTTTTGAAGGCCTCTGACCCGGAAGTCAAAGCCTCTGTAGTGAGAGAAGAAACACAAGTAGATTGAGAGATTAATAAAAAGACTAATTTGCTTGTTTGAGCCCAAAATGGGTTTGGCCAAAAACTGGTTGTGTCACCATTGATGGTAATAATTATCATCTAATCTTTTTCATTACTGGCAATGAGTCTTTTACGTCACTTTAGACGACATTCGGGCTACACTTCTGTGTATTAATTCGACCTTTGACCAAGGTGGAAGGTGGTTAGGACACACTTATTTCTGTCTGAACTTTGACTAGGCCCTTCCAAGAAGATAATTTAGTTTTTATATTGCATTGAAAGGTGAACTATCTAATTATAAAGTTATTTATTGTAGCATATTCACTGCTTTGTTTAAGTAAATTAGTTTATTTATAGCACCACCTCACAGAAAGTCATTCCAGCTCAATCACACATTAATAATAATTAATAGCCATCATTAATTATTAATAAATAATTAATTATTATTAATCCTAATAATTAAACAGCACATTGAGTTCGATTCTTTGTTTGCTGAATCTGACTGCAGTGATTATCCGAGAATTTCTTTTGGATTTTCTTGTTGAGAGAAGAACTCAGTTTCAAGTCTAAATCAAGTTTACAAGGCCAAGGAAGCAAAGAAATCACAGATCATCACACTAACGCCGCCATGTTTCAATGAAGGTGTGGCGTTATTTTTATGAATAGTTGTTAGTTTTATTCCAGATGCAAGAAATACACTTTAGAAAAAAATATTCTGTGGTTTTATGACTAGAAAAACATTTTTTTCAAAGTATTTGAAATCATTAAAAAATGTATTTTTTGGGCTATTTCTTTGGTCAGTTGTGGTTTTTATCTTTTTTTAACTCCTATGGAGTCTATGTTGAGGTGCCTTTTTCACAATTAAGTTTGTGCGTTATTAAAACACAAATTTTAATAAAGCCCTGTGAGTGTGTTGGATTTCTGTCTGGGTTCTTTGTGCCCATCCTGTATGAGTTGATTAGCTGATGCAAAGTCTGACCACTATTTCAAGTTATATTTATTTTTAAATATTTACTCTCATTCTCATGACCCGGCCCTGACTTGAAAAATTTAAAATGTTTATTTTATAATATGTTCTTATACTCTATTAGATTGAGGCATGATGCTTTGCTTTTTAAAAATTGTTCAGCAAACTTTGTGTTTCTCATT